TCCATAATACATGCTAATATGATTCCATTTACAAATACTCTATTCATTATAACTTTTCAAGAATATACCTATTGTGTACAGTGAGGCTTAACCATAATCATTTTTTCCTGGCAGTATAAGGTTTCCTACTTCTGAAAAGTGATTGAGCTGACCTTGTCAATTCGATTGGGGGAGGAAGCACTCTTCCTTATTGTCTCGGAGAAGGGATTTACCTGTCCAACAGCAAGGCTGTGGATTCTGTCTCTGCATTATGTGATGTTGAGTAGCTGCTGGTATAATGTTACATTTTCCCTGAGCTCCTCTCAGTAGCCGCAGCCAAAGCCCCAAAGTGTAAACTAGTCTCACTGCTTTCTTACTTCATTTCATATACAAGATATGCTAATAAAAATTATTTGTTGGCTGGACATGGTGGCTCATGCCTATAATCCCAGAATTCCAGGAAGCTGAGGCAGGTGGATCACTTGAACTCAGGAGTTCGAGACCAGCCTGGGCAACATAGTGAGATCCCCATCTCTACCAAAAAAAAAACCAAAAACAGCCGGGTGTGATGACACACATCTGTGGTCCCAGCTCCTCAGGAGGCTGAGATGGGAGAATCCTGTGAGCCAAAGAGTTGAAAGCGGCTGTAAGCTATGATCACACCACTGCACACCAGCCTGGTCAACAGAGGAAAACCTTGTCTCTAAATTAATGAAGTAGTTAATTAAATAATTTTGTTGCCGATGTCCTGATAAATATGTGACAAGCATTACTTGTAAAAAGCAATGTTTCTCTCTCTTTTTAAAAAATTTCAAGACATTTTCTTATCTGAATTACAACATAAACTGGGGCCAGTATTCAAATTAGGGCTCTCCCCAGCAAAATAGGAAGTGATAGCAATTTAGGACCTGTCTCCTTCTCTCACTGGGTCCTGAGCCTGAATCTTCGCATAGCTTTGTGGTGTTACACAATTGCTCTTTGTAAGAGATACATAAAATGGAAACCTTAGCTATTCATAGCCAACTTAGGAGGAGCTGAATTTGATCAAGAAGTTTCTTGCCGGGTGCCATTTTGATGGTAACTATGTGTTTCTGAACAAATCCACTTACAATCTGGGTTTCAAATGGAGGTTATTTTAAAGAGCTGTAGCGTGGCTTTTGTTTTCATCCTCTGTGGTGACTATATTTTAGAAGTAGACAAGCATTCCTGGCATATAGCCTGAATATTTTTTTAGGTTTTTTAGTGGTAAAAGAAGCTCACATGGAAAGGCAAGGGCAGAAAAAATCATGTTCAGGGCAGTCCTGTGTGGCATTACCCTCTGGTGAAGCAGATCCACACTGCATGCTGCTAATGGCTATTGCATGACAGCTCTTAAAGGGGTAAGTGAGAGAGGTGCAGAGGGCTGGTGAGAAGCAGAGCTAGCACTGAGGCCCTCCAAATGGCATCATCGTCAATTGGGTTGGCGGCTACTGCTGGAGATGGTTTGGCTGCCCCTGAAGGCTCAGCTTCTCACACTGTATAGGCAGGTAGATTTCAGCCATTTCTAAAGCCCATCACTGGCAGGGAAATCACATTTAATCCATCTGTGAGGTTCTCTAGCGAGGAGTCTCTCTTTTTTTTTTTTTTTTTTTAAGATGGAGTCTCACTCTGTTGCCAGGCTGCAGTGCAGTGGCACAATCTCGGCTCACTGCAACTTCTGCCTCCCGGGTTCAAGCAATTCTCCTGCCTCAGCCTCCCAAGTAGCTGGGACTACAGGCATGCACCACCATGCCCAGCTAATTTTTGTAGAGATGGGGTTTCACCATGTTGGCCAGGATGGTCTCCATCTCTCGACCTCATGATCCGTTCGCCTCGGCCTCCCAAAGTGCTGGGATTATAGGTGTGAGCCACTGTGCCCGGCCGAGGGGTCTCTCTTTTCAGAAGTCAGAAGCGCTGGAATTGAAAACAGCAGCAAGAAGGCTTCATTGCATTCTTGAATTCAGGCTGTTGCACTCCACCCCCCACAACTGTCTCTGAATTGTTGCTACCCAGTTTATAGCTCCATATTTTTGTTGTTGTTTCTTCAGTGCAGTCTGTAGTGGTGGCAGGTACTGATCATAAAACAAATGGATAAGTACTGAATAAACTATATTCATTCAGTTTTCTTTTTCCCTGGTGGAATTTTTAAACTTTTCAAAATTAATGCTAATGGATATAGAGGAATGGGATATGCATTTCTGTGCATTTTTATGACCAAACAGAAGACCGACCCCTGAGAGTGACGTATTTACTATTCTCTACTACTAGGGGTGCTTCAAGGGAGGAGTGTTTGAAGCCCTGTGGTTTAAACGAAAGGAGAGCATAACCCACCCCACCCTGAACAAACAGCAGCTGGGCAGATTTCATCTCACAAATGGAAATGGGAGCAAACAAATTTTTTCAAAGCAATTTTATAAAGAGTGGGCCTGTTTAATTGGGTTTTTTGAGCCAGGATTAATATTATAAGCTGGGGAGCTCTGTGACATGGCTGCGTCGTTGGCTTTGCCATACCGCCTACCTCCTGGGGGAAGGCAGAGGAAAGCGCTGCTATTCAGAAGCAATTTTACTTCTGCCTTGGCCTTCTCACTTCTCACTGAAGTGATTTACAGCCAGCCTGGACCCAGCGCCCAAGCCTGAGCTGAGTTACATGTAATGTTGGAAAGATCTTCCCCAAATCAAGGTCATATCTAGAGCTTGCCTTGGATATTTTTTTCATTTCTAATTTATGTAACTTTCTAATACGTTTAGCATTTGCCCTTCCCTTGTCTCCATCCTGCTTATTAAGGTGAATTTGCATAGAAATGGGATCTTGGTCTTCAGGACCATTCACCTGACACTTGATCCCACGAGGCGACCACTGTCTACTGTTGATTCCATGAGGATGACCCACAGAAGCGATGTCTCTCTGAAAACTAGAGGCAAGGCCTTAATTAGAAGAAGCCTTGTATGTTAAAGTGATGGGGTGAATCGAATCAGCAAAGGCATTTAGCATTAACTTAGGAGGGCAGAATACTCCTTCCTGTTGAGTGGGTCATCCTAGGTCACAACCATTTTAATTTGCCTTCGATAGATGGATCTTGAAGAAAGTGTACAAAAAGTATATTTGTGGTGCTGTTGTTTGGAAGTACGTTTTGACTGGTGATAAAGCTCAGAGAGTTAACTATGACATTTTACTTTGGCTCCTGGTCTATTTTTTGCTTAACATCTACCTTTGAATGGGTAATAGTCATCTCTGTAAATTACCTTCGAAAGACCGAGCAATTGTGGAGAATCAGAGAAATGAGCCCCTTGCTATCACCCTGTTGCAGTCGCTTTAATCCTCTGATCTCTTGGCGTTTCACCCTCTCACTGGCAGCCACTTTCCTTATTTACCCAAATCTTGCTTATTTGGGTAGGAATTCCCACTGAGAGGACAACTGTGGTCCCAGTTGACTGGTCACTGAAAGTCTATTAGGTTAGAGGACATTTATTTTCTACCCCAAAGGGTTTGAAACTTAGGGAAATTTTGATCAACAAGAAAATAACAGCTTTCAAGATTGTCCTGACATTAAGATGTCTTAGCAGAGAATCACAGGATTTGATAGTCATGGAGATTAGGTCTCGAATTTCAATGAGAAAAGTTCATAGGAGATGGGAGTGACAGAAGAAAACTTGTGCTGATTTTGGTTAGGCTACCTTTGCTGGGGGAAAATGCATTCCATAAAATTATTTTAAAACGTAAATACTATTTAGCTATCTTGTATAATACTTTGCATATATATATATATGTAGATATAGATTTTTATTTTTTTTGAGACAGAGTCGTCACCCAGGCTGGAGTACAGTGGCACAATCTTGGCTCACTGCAGCAACCTCTGCCTCCTGGGTTCAAGCGATTATCTTGCCTCAGCCTCCTGAGTAGCTGGGATTACAGGCACGTGCCACTGCTCCTAGCTAACTTTTGTATTTTTAGTAGAGACAGGATTTCACCATGTTGGCCAGGATGATCTTGAACTCCTGACCTCAGGTGATCTGCCCGCCTCAACCTCCCAAAGTGCTGGGATTACAGGCATGAGCCACAGCACCTGGCCTGCATCTATAATTTGATTTAACCTTACAACTTTATTAATTGAATATTATGAGCACCAATTTATAGATGAGGAAACGGAGACTCCAAGAGTTTAATTACTTGCCCAAGAGTGTACAACTATCTACCAACAAAACTGGGACTGAGGCCAGCTCTCTTGCCATTACATCCCCACTGCCTCCTAAAGCACAACTCTAGTTCATACTAAATGTATTACATAGGCTGATTCATTTATCTTTACACAGGTCTCACACGTTACGAGAAGGGGGCCACAATTTTAACTCAATTCAAAAATGTTAACATCAAAATTTCCAAAATGTACTTGGTTTATAATATAATCATAAAATAAGTAATCTGACCAATGGAGTCTCCCAACTCGAAAACCAAAAAATGCTTTCTGCTCTCAAACCATGCAGAAGGAAGCTGAGTTCCCCACTGGCCAGTGCTGTCTCATTCTCTTAAATGATTCAGATGTAGAAGAGGAAATGGCATCTGTCTAATTAACACTGCCTGTTTAAATATAGCTGCCAAGGGACAGCCTTGGGACAGTGTTTACAGAATAGTCTTTCCAGCCCCTCGGGCCTCAAGTTACAAATGATAGCAAGCCTTCCCTCCTTATCAGCTGCAAACAGAGATGCCCCCAAAAGTGGTGTCAGGCCAGGATGATGAAAGGAGAAGGGAAAGGCTGCGGCTGGCCTTCATTTCCTGCTCCTGGCTTCTAGGGATCCCAAGAATGATCCCAGGACCCAGATCCTATAGATTCCAGCAGCTCTTCCTGCAAACACAAGCGCTTGTTGTGCGCCTGAGCCTTGCTCTCCAGCCTGGAGACATCTATCTGCCCACTCTCCTAGGAACTGCTGATTACCAGGAAGCACCATGGGCTCTGCTGCCCTCCCCCTGGCAGAGAGGCACAATGACCACATTATTTCTCTTCCAGCTTCACGTTACGGCATGGAAGCTGTCGCCAAGTTTGATTTCACTGCCTCAGGTGAGGATGAACTGAGCTTTCACACTGGAGATGTTTTGAAGGTAGGTGACGTGGGGCCCCAGGGGAGCAATAGGGAGTTTCAGTTACTCAGTAATCTGACAGTCCCTGCCTTTGTCTCTTAAGAACTGCATGTGGTTCCTTTTAAAAAGAGAAGTTCACCTTGATTCCCTTTGTGCACCCTTATAGCAGACACCAACCAGGCCAGGTGATGGAAATATAGAGTCGGCATAAGCCACCATCCTTGTCCTGGGAGGTTCGTAGCCTGGAGAGGGGAACACATCCACCCAAAGGGCTGTTACAGATGTTCTTGGCTAAGTTCTCAGGGAGCACAGGTGAGGGAACAAGTGATTCCACCTGGAAAGATGGGGGTTGTAGGAGTGCGTGCAATGTGAACGTCAGGAATGCACTGAAGGTGACTTGGGCTTTTAGCTAAAGCTCAGAGATGTGCAAGCCCTTGCTGAACTCAGGGAGCAGCGCCAGGCTCAGCAGAGCTGGAACTCAGGAGGAGAGGTTGTGGATAGAGACAGCTTGGGAAAGGCAGCCACAGAGGACATGGCTCAACAAAGGCCATGCACACCTGGCCACCCAGGGGCTTTTTAAAGCTTGTCCTCAGCCTGCACTTGAGTTGTAGAGGCCACTTGCTGGGCTGAAGTGGCCTTGGGCTTCTCCCTCATTCATGCACCGTACTTTCAGACTCTACATCTTAGCCCTTGGGTTTTTTGTTTGTTTTGTTTTTTGTTTTTTGTTTTGTTTTGTTTTGTTTTGTTTTGCAAAAGAGCGTAAGCCCTTCAAAAGGGCTTTTGGGAGTATATGGAGCCAGACCCCCGCTGCCTGACCTCAGATCACCCTCAGATAGCCTGATTCCTGGTCCGCAGCAGTCCCGATGAGCCTTCTCGGATGTCCAGCAACACTGAGGCCATTAGTGTCTCGCCACCGAGAATTATGTTTGTTATACAAAGAACCTTATCAGCATGTGAGAGAGTGACTTTGAAAGTGTCTGAGGTGCCGGGCGCGGTGGCTCAAGCCTGTAATCCCAGCACTTTGGGAGGCCGAGACGGGCGGATCACGAGGTCAGGAGATCGAGACCATCCTGGCTAACCCGGTGAAACCCCGTCTCTACTAAAAAAATACAAAAAACTAGCCGGGCGAGGTGGCAGGCGCCTGTAGTCCCAGCTACTCAGGAGGCTGAGGCAGGAGAATGGCGTAAACCCGGGAGGCGGAGCTTGCAATGAGGTGAGATCTGGCCACTGCACTCCAGCCTGGGCGACAGAGCGAGACTCTGTCTCAAAAAAAAAAAAAAAAGTGTCTGAGGAGCACAAAACACCACAGAATGGCTTCTTTTGGAATATGAACATGCCCATTAGGTAGCCTTCTAACTGCTCTCAACTTTCAAGATCTAGTACCATGGTGGCAAACCGTAGGCTTTCACGAACTTAAAATATGAGTTGGGCCTCCTGACCCAGGAAAACCTGTCTGTCACTGCTTTGGGATCTTACCAAGGTCCTGGAGGGACTTGCCGTGCAGTGAGAAGTTCCTGCTTTCTCTATGGGGCACTGTGACCATGTGACTGTCATCCACTGGAGAACATCCTTGCACCAACTTCCACCCTTGTCTTCCATTGCAACGAGAAGCTGGTATCTTAAGTTTTCTCTATTCCCCAGCAAAAGAAAAGGAAAGAAAAAAAAACTTTGTTCAACTCTGCTTCCCAATCCAGCTCCTGATTTCTTTCCTCTCCTTTGTTGCTAATACTGGGAAGAATTTTCTACACTGGGTGTGCCTCACTTCCTCACTTCCCACTCATTCCACAACCCTCTGGAATCTCCCTTTTACCCTCCCCCCAACATTCTCTTGAAGTTCACCAGTGATCTCCTTAATGTGTAGTATAACGACCCTGTGGAAATGTCTGTGGGGCTGATACTGCTAACTGGCCCTCTCCTGGAAGCCCCTTTCTCCCTGGCTTTGGCAGCACCTCTGGGTTCTTCTCCTCCCTTCCTGAACACTCCTACAGGTCTCATTTCCAAGCATTCTTTTTCCTCTCTTGATCCTGAAATATATACTTCCCTGAAGGTGCTGCCTTTGGCTTTCTGATTCTTCTTCTCACTCTGAGCCACCTCTTCCTCTTCTCCGGCTGCAACCATCACCTCTGTGCTAAAGACCCTCAAGTCTATGGTTCATGTTCTAGCTCTGACCTTGCTCTTGAACTCCAGACCCAGACTTCCAATTGTCTGCTGGATGTCCCCATATGAACTCCAGCCCCTGACTTCGGATGCCCAGAATCACTCCAACCCCCATGCCCTTCTCACCCCCACTTCCACCGAAGCCACTCTTCTTTCCATGTTCTAAGTATTGTCCTAGGTCAGTCACAAGCCAGGAGCCCCAGTTATCATCAGTGCCTCCCTTACCAAATCCTGGTGACCAGTAACCAACATCTCCTGAGCTCCTGTTCAGGGCCAGGATCTAGCTAAGTGGTTTGCAGACATGATTTCATCATCTGAGCAAACGTATGAGGTAGGCATTCATTTCCCCTCCATTTCACAGATGAGAAACTGAGGCTAGGGATGAAATCACATGTCCACGGTCACGCAGCTAGAATGAAACCAATCCAGGACCTGGATAGAACTCTGTCTGACTCCTAAGCACTAAACTCTGCTCTGAATGTAATTTTTTCCTCATATCTCTCAAGCACGTCTCTTCTTCACCAGAAGGGAGTGTGAGGCAGTAAAAAGGAGCATAGACTTTGAGTCAAATGGATCTTAGTTTGAATCCCAGCTTACTAGCCGTGGAGCCTGGGGCCCAGTCATCTGCCCTCTTTGAGCTTTAGTGTCTTCTTCAGCAAGTGGAGGTAGTATCTATCTTGCCACGTTGTGGAGAGGATTCGAGGTGATGACCCTGGCCCAACGCAGACGCCCAATAAATGGTGGCCTGCATTATCGGGATCATCCATCCCCGCTGCCTCTGACTGCTCAGATCATTGCGGCAGCTCCTTGACTGACCTCATTACCTCTTGTCTTTTTCCTCCTTCAATCATTCTACATACTAGTCCCAGAGGGATCTTTCCAGACAAATCGAATCATATCATTTCCTTGCTCAAAAACATTCAGGGGTTTCCAATTACCAATTGATTGAGATTGAAAACATCTGGCCCCAAACCACTGTCCAGTGTCATTATGCACATGTACACATGTGTGCACACACACAGAGACATCTTTGTGGACGTAACGCCCGCAGGTTGCACTGCAATGTATACACCACCCTTTCTCAGCCTCTCCCCTATATACTCCGAGTGCCCCTCTCCCACACACACACATATTTGACCTCCTATACCATGGAAACCTCACTGGTCCTCCCTACTCGCTACCATCGCAGGGAAACAAATCACTCCCTCTTCAGCTCCTCCCCAACATTTCACACAAACTTCACTCATTTCCAGGCACTTATGATTTTGCCTCACATGGCAGCTATTTATAGGCAGGCCATGACCCTGTGGTCTCATGCACCCTCTATTTCTGCCTTTCATTGCTGCCTTTGCCCGGTGGGATCCTAATTGCTCATTTACGTGTTGTCTACTCCACTAGCCAAAGCTGTGCAAGGGCAGGGGCCGTGTCTGCCTCAATGTCTAGAATAGCTGTGCCTGGAACTCCCTGATATTTGGTGAATGAATGACTTCAATTCCTCTCCATTCACTGAGAGCAATGTCATCATGCACATGTGCACACAATGCCAGGTTCATCTTTGTGTCTTCACAGCATCTAACACAAGTCATGGCCCAAAATAGATACCCAGTACATATTTCTTGAATTGCTAAATCGCGTTTCTTCCTGTTCATTTAGAATTCCGTCGGAAAGCCAACCCCCTCCCTCTTTTCAAATTCTGTCCATTGCAGGTAAAGAGCAAAATGGGGAGGGCTTGTTGACTGAGCCCCACAGAATGTCTGCAGGATGGTGGTTGGTTCCCATGCCTGGGGCTCCCCACATGTAATTGCAGTGTCTGCCCCCTCAATGGGTAACACAGGCAGGATCCTCACAAGTACTTTCAAAGCCAGTTCCTGACTACTCCAGCAACTCGCTTGTGGGATTCTCTGACTCATTTGGCCTTTTGTGCTAAAGACTAAACAGAGGTTTTCATTAGAAAGGTACAAAAAAAGTCTGAGCAGCCACTCACCCTCAACAGACCATGAGTTTCCTGGGGCAGAGGCCCCAGCTTATTTATCTCCATATTTCATGCACCTAAGTGCAATCAGCAGGTGCTCACTAGATGCTGATCTACATGGCATGGTAAACAAGATGGTGGACAGGAAAACGCCACTATATGACTTGATCTTGCTTCTTCTATGACAGAAACATTTGAAAACTCAGGAATCAGATTTTTTTTCCTGTTCATGCCACAAAGGTGCATGTCACCATACCTGCAGCTACACACAGCACCAGGCTCACATTTGAATTTGCCATTAAATTTGCCAGCAGCTTTGAAAAATGTCTCTTGACCCAGTCCATTTCTGTCTCCTTCTGTAATGCATCTAATGCGACCTCATTTCTTCCTGCTAAAATAGCAACCTAAAAGCACTAAGAGTTAATTCTACGTAATTTGCTTCTTCAATACTTCAGATTTCTGCTATGCTTCTAAAAGCTACAATTTCATCCAATTTAAGAATTCTTCCTGCTGTAATTTGGCCCTTCTCTTCCCACGTCTAACTTATGCTCAGGCCATGTAACCCAGAAAATCATCTCTTAGGGAACATTATAAGAATTAAACAGTAAAGAGTAAAACTTCAAGTGTTCAGGTTGAACGCCTCGCTCAGGTTTACATGATGGGTACACGAGATAGGGGGACCGAACAGATGGAGAGATGAGAAGAAGAACAGGAAGTGCGGGGCCCTGGGCCCACAACGGCAGGAGGAAACCATCTCCCCTCCCCTCAAATACCTTTCTTTGCAGAAAATGAGAATTTTTTTTTTTTTAAACCTCACCTTCTATACATGGTAAAAAGCCTGTGAATTCACCTCTCTAGAAACACAATGTCAGGCAGACCAAGCACCAAGTGGCGGAGAGAAATGGCTGGCATTGTGGGATAATCTTTCAGTTTCTAGAGGAGGTCTGAGGCATGATAATTAAAATTACAGAGCTGCTTTCAGGTCAGAAAACGAAGTACAAAGTGTGGGGTTTTTTTAGTTTTTGAGACAGTCTTGCTCTATTGCTCAGGCTGGAGTGCAGTAGTGCGATCTCGGCTCACTGCAACCTCCGCCTCCCGGGTTCAAGCAATTCTCGTGGCTCAGCCTCCCAAGTAGCTGAGATTATAGGCATGCACCACCATCCCTGGCTAATTTTTGTCTTTTTGGTAGAGATCAGATTTTGCCATGTTGGCCAGGCTGGTCTCAAACTCCTGACCTCAGGTGATCCACCCACCTCAGCCTCCCAAAGTGCTGGGATTACAGGCATGAGCCACGGCACCTGGCCTCAAAGTGTGGTTCTTAGGGTGATAAGCCAGTTTCCAAATGGCCTCTGTTACCCCTTTCTGTGTGACATTTGCTACCCTGGCCAAACACCGCATTCCCGTGTGACGGGAGAAAGGAATTCCAACGCCATGAATTCAGGAGCGATGGATGGAGTGCAGTGCTCTTGGTTCTTTACGTGGCTACGAGGCACTGCTGCTGGGTTTCCTAGTTCTTTTGACCTAGATTTTCTGCTTCCTCCCTTGCCCCCTTAGCACACACATACCCACATGTCCTTGGTGACACCAACAGTCACATTTGATGTTAGAAACTACAGAGTTTTCTGTTCTCAGCAATCTCGAACTCAAATGTGGGACACACTTTTATTTCTTCAGAATAAATGACTAAATTCAAAACATACACACATACTGCTTTAAAGAATACATAAACCCTTCCATGTCCTATTCAGAGCTGGAGGCCTCCCTCGTAAGAATACCACATTTGATGGAATTGTATTTTTTTGAAAAGAGTCTACACTTTCTGAAGGACTTTCAGGTACCAGGGCTCATTTGATCCTCACATCAGCTCTGTGAGGTGCTAGATGGCTATTATTATCCCCAGTTTTCACATGGCTAATTGACTTGGCCAAGATCACATATCTAGTGATGGAGCCAAGCTAGAAACCAGGTCTTCTGATTCCCAACCCACAACACTGTCCCCTTCCTTCCATCTTGGAGTGATGTCAGAAATAGGTCATCATCTCCGCTCAAGCACTTAGTTCTTTCCATTATCTTCCCATCTTCTTTTCTGGGAGAGAGAAGTTCATGGGCCCTGTGACTTCAACTCCACCCACTTTCTGATGACTCTGAAACCCCAAGCCCCACCCTCACCCTCTCTCCTGGATCCAGACTGACATATCCAGCTGCTTCCTGAGCTTTTCTTCTCAGTTGAATAATTCAATTCACAATCACCGCATGCAATCTAAAGCCCATGAGCCCTTTCTCAGCCCTGCCTCCTCTCGTGTATCTTCTATTTCTATAAAGCCATCACCACCTACTCAGTCTCCCAAGCCAGAAATCCAGTGGCATCCCAGAATCCTCTTCTCTCTTAGCTTCCAAGATTGGCCAAGAAATCCTGCCTGTTTGCTTCCTGAATTTCTCTAAAATATATCCTCGCCTCTTCTTAGCCCAGGCCCTATCATCTCTTGCCTGGAGGGCTGCGCTCATCTTCCTACAGTTTCTCTCCCAACTTTAGCCTTCCAATCTATCTTCACATTCTGATCTCTGATACAGAACTCTCTCTCTCTCTGTCTCTCTGTCTCTCTCTCTCTGAATTAGAGACAGAGCCTGTCTCTGTTGTCCAGGCTGTAGTACAGTGGTGCAATCAGAGCTCACTATAGCCTTTAACTCCTGGGCTCACGCGCTCCTCCCGCTTCAGCCTCCTGAGTAGCTAGGACTACAGATGCACTTCCACCACGCCTTGCTAGGTTTTATTTTTATATTCATAGAGACAAGGTCTCGCTTTGTTGCCCAGGCTGGTCTCAAACTCCTGGGCTCAAGCAATCGTCCCGCTTGGGCCTCCTAAAGTGCTGGGATTACAGGCATGAGCCATCACACCCAGTGAGAGCTCTTTCTGAACTCTAATTCTCACTGTTATTTCCCTGCTCAAAATCCTTTAAGGGCTGCCCCTACATTTCAAGATATTCACAGTCTACATTCCAGCCACCTGGAGGCATTTCATTCCCAGAATGCACCACACCTCCTCAGAGCTGAAGGAGGAAGTTCCATTGCCATCTGACTTGGCCTCAGTAACTCCTTTCATTGCTGAGGCAAGTGGTCTCTGCTCCACATATGAATGCCTTTTCTATCTATTTCTGCTTTCTTCTTTATCATCGTACTTCTATCAGTTAAGATATTTTCAGGAACAAGAAACATAAACTAAAAATGGCTTAAACAATAACAAAGACTTGTAATTTCTCAAAGTCCAGAAGTAGGAAGGCTCCTGGGTATCATCTAATTCAGTGGTTCAGTGCATTATCAGGGTTCTTTCCATCTTTTGCTCTGCTATCCTTATTTAGAATTATTGTTCTAGTCTATATCATAGACTTAAAAAAAGATTTGTTTTTTAAGAGAGAGTCTTACTCTGTTTCCCAGGCTGGATAGCAGTGGCAAGATCACGGTTCACTGCAACCTCGCCTCCTGGGTTCAAGCAATTCTCCTGTGTCAGCCTCCCAAGTAGCTGGGATTACAGGCATGTGCCACCAGGCCCGGCTACTTTTAGTATTTTTAGTAGAGACGGCGTTCCACCATGACAGACAGGCTGGTCTTGAACTCCTGGCCTCAACTGATCTATGCTCCTCGGCCTCTCAAAGTGCTGGGATTACAGGTGTGAGCCACCACGCCTGGCCTCAGACTTTCAAAACATTCTCAGTGGCAGTGCCAAATATTTGTCTTTTAATGGTGAATCTCATTTTTTGAGAAACCAGAAGCCACATACAGTCAAGTCTGGTGAGTAATATGACTAACCAAGGTAGACAATAACATGTGGGGTCACAGTCAAAGTGAGGCCACAGAGTAACAAGACAGAACTTTTGGTTTTGCTTGGGATCTGGCTCTAAAAGCAAGTTTAGAAAAGGCATCCCCAGTATCTTGAGTTCCAGCCAAACTATCTGTGAAATACACAGCATGTGAACACAAAGAGTTACTGTTTCCAAAGCTGGCCCCACTGGGATGTTTAAGTTTTAATCTGCCTGTTTAAAAAACAAAAATTAAATTTTTGAAAGTTTCCTGGGCCAGGCCTGGTGGTTCATACCTGTAATCCCAGCACTTTGGGAGGTCAAGGCAGGTGGATCACTAGGTCAAAAGATCAAGACAATCCTGGCCAACATGGTGGAACTCGTCTCTACTAAAAATACGAACAATTAGCCAGATGTGGTGGTGCATGCCTGTAATCCCAGGTACTTGGGAGGCTGAGGCAGGAGGATCACTTGGACCCAGGAGGTGGAGGTTGCAGTGAGCTGAGTTCGCGCCACTGCACCCCAGCCTGGCAACAGAGCAAGACTCCATCTCAAAAAAACAAAAACCAAACAAACAAACAAACAAACAAAAAAACAGAAAAGTTTCCTGGTTACCTGGAAGAGAAAAAAAAAAAAACAAAAAACTATGGAGTAGCCACTCTTGGCTTCCCACCATCTGCTCAGATGAGGAACTTAAGGTGCTACCTGGGACAAATGAATTTCCAAAATAGAAGAAGGGATTCAGGGAAGTCCCTGAGTGCTGAGTCTGGGAGACCAAGCCACAGTGGGGTGACATAGGTGGACGGCACAAGTGGACGGAAATAACTCGGGATGAGGAGAAGCTGACTCCAAAGGTAAACCCACGGCTCCTCTACAGGCCTGGGGTAAATCCTAGAACAGCTGTTCAGTTCTTTCAACTTATTAACATATTTTCCCTCTAAGTCCAAAAGGTCCTTCTTTGCCCTACAGCCCCTTTCTCTTGTTTTTTGGTGTCCTCCCTCCAATGTCTTTGTCTTTCCTTTTCTTCCATGTAGATTTTGAGTAACCAAGAGGAGTGGTTTAAGGCGGAGCTTGGGAGCCAGGAAGGATATGTGCCCAAGAATTTCATAGACATCCAGTTTCCCGAGTAAGTATTCACAGCCTGCTGAGATGGGCCTACCCCGACACATTCCTCTGACTTTCCCAGCAATCACTACTATTATCCATGGGAAGCCAGGACATTGTCAAAAATGGCTGCCTCCGGAGATCTCTCCAGAGAGACGCCAGAGCACGCAGCTGAAGGCCAGGGCAGGCGGGAGACTTTGCATTTCATTTCATTCCCTTTTGATGTTTACACCATGTGTGTGTATTGCTATTTTAAGTATTTCTTTCCTTTTTTTTTTTTTAGTTTTTTTTGTGAGTCAGGGTCTCACTCTGTCACCCAGGCTGGAGTGTGGTGACTCCATCACCACTCACTGCAGCCTGAAACTCCTGGGCTCAACCATCCTCTCGCCTCAGCCTCCCAAGTTGCTGGAATTACAGGCACATGCCACCACGCCGGGCCAGTTTTTCTATTTTTAGTAGAGACAGGGTTTCACCATGTTGGCCAGGCTGGTCCCCAACTCCTGACCTCGCGTGATCTGCTGCCTCAGCCTCCCAAAGTGGTGGGATTACAGGCATGAGCCACCGTGCCCAGCCTATTTTAAGTTTTGGAGGTTTTTTGGTTTGTTTGTTTGTTTTGTTTGTTTTGAGACGGAGTCTTGCTCTGTTGCACAGGCTGGAGTGCATCTCAGCTCATTGCAATTCTCCTGTCTCAGCCTCCCTAGTAGCTGGAATTACAGGCGCATGTCACCACACTTGGCTAACTTTTGTATTTTTAGTAGAAACAGGGTTTCACCATGATGGACAAGCTGATCTCAAACTCTTGAACTCAGGTGATCCACCTGCGTTGGCCTCCCAAAGTGCTGGGATTACAGGTATGAGCCACTGCGCCTGGCCTATTTTAAGTTTTTATAAAATGAGTTTGTAAACTCAAATTACCTATAGTGATTTCAATCACAGGGTTCCCTAGAATTCCAAAGGGGGCGCTATTGGCCACCCCACTTTGAGAGCTGCTCTCCTAAGCACTTCTCTGTGACCTCCCAATCCTAACCATCCTCACCAGGCTCTCAGCCTTCACTGGGTGGGTGGACAGACAGACACTCCCTGCCTTCAGTAAAGCGTGCTCACCCCAGTGAGAGAAGTCAGTGGGGGAAGAGGAAGTTCTCTTCCTAAAGAGGAAATGCAAAATTGAGATTGGGCTTCGTTTGTCTCAAGAATTGACCACAAGGGTTAGATAGAAATCTAATCTTGCCTCAGAACCAGGGTCTAGCTCAAAGAGCAAAAGTTTGTTAGAAAACCACAGTAGTATTGGTGACTCCAGCGAGGTGCAGGAGCAACACTCATGGTGAACCTGAACTGACCACCAAACCAAGAGAATGACCACTGACCTTGACAGGGCCCTTGATGCTGCCCAGGAATCTGCTCGGTGACCTCTGCATACCCCACCTGTTCCTCAAACCTCCAGCCCCTCCCTGCATCACTCTCAGCCTGTGACCTTGATTCCAGGTTCTCTGGAACAATGAAAGCCACCAGAAGTGAAGCTCCCAGATTCCTCACCCCCCATCCCACCCCTACCACATCCACCTGCCTCCTGCAAGTGTGCTCAAACAGTCAGCCTTTCCTGCAGCTGGCTGGAAGGAACTGTCACTGCTTCTAGCGGAAATTCTCCTCTCTCTCTCCCACATCAGCCTCCTTTCCCTCTCTGCTTGATCATTCCTGTCAGCAAACACACATGCTGCAATTTCTTTCAACGTACCAAAACACAAACAAACAAAACCAAACCCAGAGGCCAGGTGGGTTTTGTGGTGGCAGATTCCTGTAGTCCCAGTCCTTTTAGAGGCTGAGGGAGGAGGATCACTTGAGGCTAGGAGTTTGAGACCAGCCTGGGCAACATAGCGAGACCCATCTCTACAAAAAAATGTTTTAAATTAGCTGGGCGTGGTGGCATGCACCTGTAGTCCCAGCTGCTTGGGAGGCTGAGGCAGAAGGATCGCTTGAGCCTGGGAGTTCAAGGCTGTGGTGGGCTGTGATTACATCACTGCACTCCAGTCTGGGCAGCAGAGAGAGACTCTGTTTCCAAAAAAAAAAAAAAATTAAATAAATAAAACAAGAAAACTCTTAATATCAAATCCCCTTGCAGTTGCCACTCCATCTCTTCAAAAGGAGTGTGTAGGCCGGGCGCGGTGGCTCACGCCTGTAATCCCAGCACTTTGGGAGGCCGAGGCGGGCGGATCACGAGGTCAGGAGATCGAGACCATCCTGACTAACACGGTGAAACCCCGTCTCTACTAAAAATGCAAAAAATTAGCCGGGCGAGGCGGTGGGCGCCTGTAGTCCCAGCTACTCGGGAGGCTGAGGCAGGAGAATGGCGTGAACCCGGGAGGCGGAGCTTGCAGTGAGCCGAGATCGCACCACTGCACTCCAGCCTGGGCGACTAAGCAAAAAAAAAAAAAAAAAAAAAAAGGAGTGTGTATATTTGCTGCTTCCAACTCCTCATCTCCCGACCCTTCCCGCCAGGCACGCCATGGGCTGCAGCTCCCAGGGGTCATCTCAGCCTGACCTGCCCTGGGGATCCCCCTCCCACTGGAACACCTTCCTCATTTTGGCTCCAGAACATCCTTCCTCCGTTTGTCCTCCCACTGCCCTGGCTTCTCCTCCTCAGTCTGTTGTGTTGGTTCCTCCCACACCCCAGTCCCCTACAGGTTTAGAATGTTTCCTTTTCAGTGAGGTCTTTCTCATCACCATACCTTATATTAATCTCCCACCCGCAGCGCCCCATCTCTGAAACAGAAAAAAAAATCTGTTTTCATATTCTCTACAGCACTTACCATCATCTGGCACACTGCAGGTCTTAATTATTTTGTTCTTTTGTTTGTGTCCCCCTCGACTAGAACGTAAGCTCCCTGAGGGCAGGGGTAGGTGTCTGTTCTGCCCACTACCATGTCCTCAGTGCGCAGGAGGGGGCCCAGCACAGTACTAGATGTTCAGTAAAGCTTTTGAATGAATGAATGAATATGTAATATTGAAACCATAACCACTCATATCTAATATGCAATGTGTGGTAATTTTTACAAATCTTGAAAGAAGCCCCCATCCGATTGCAGTCGGAGGACAAATGTGTATTTCCTAAATCCCCTTCACTTCTAAAATATTTCCTTTGCGATACAGCTGCTGTGGTGCATACCCTATTCCTTTTCCCATCCCCGTTACATTTCCCACACATGGCAGTGGTATGTGTGGTAGTCTCTTGTTTAGCCCTGTAGAATTGTGTGGCAAATACTCAGGCAGAATTTCCAGGTCACCAGAAACTGCTGCTTTCAGCCCCCTCAGAGCACAGCCAACCTTCCCCCTCAGTCCCGGAGGGGGACTCAGTCTCCAATAAGTACCTCCTTCCTGCTACCCTTGTCTCAGGTTCCCAAATTCTAGAAAGCACAGAGAATTGCTCACAAAGGAATCCAAAGCCAAGGCCTGACAGGCTTTTATCTTCAAGGAACATGCATATGAACCTTCTGGTGGCAGCAATTAGAGCAGCCACCTTGAAGCAATGTGACACAGTCCCACCTTTGGCCGCTGAGTGATTGTAGACACTCATTTTGCTTGTCTGTGGTCGAGAGAGGTCTCTGGCCTCCTGCCTTGAGGCTGCAGCCACAGCTTGCCTGGCCCTGTGTAAGTGTTTGACCTATTTCATACATGCCACGCTGTGTGCAGCTGTACCTCCAGGGGCTGCCACCCTGACCGTTCTGCTGATAGAGCGGTTTCTCCTGTTTCTTCTTTTCCACACTAAAGATTATTTCCCAGCCTTGATTTTTGGGGCAGGCCCAGGATCTGGTTGTATAGACACCGCTCTCTGGCTGCTGCCAGCCTCGTTCATTTCCAAGTGTGTACACTGGACTCCCTAGAAACACTGCAGCCTCTGCTAGGCACACTGAGCAAAGCCCCCTTGTGCTCCATGCCCACCTAGGTAATATGACACCCTGGGCTGTAACTCTCCTTTAATGCCCAGGAAGGAGCCTCTAGGCCACTGAGGCCTCAGTGCAGGCATGAGCACCCCAGGCCCTGTTCAGCCAGCTGCACCTGGTTGGCCCCAGTGCCTGAAGCCTTCCCTTCCCTCCCCGGTGCATCCTCTGTCCCCGCAGCTCTGGTCTATCTCTTCCGCAGCTGCCGGCAGGCGGCTGCTTCCTGCAGTGAGTCACTCCCACACTGCCCCATTTTGGTGCAGCGACACATTTCCATGATTGTTTCCCAGGCTGGAGAGAGACTTCTCCTGGAGAGAAGGAACAAAGAGGGTGAGTCAAGGGGAACGCTCCCTCGCCTTTCTTGAAAGCTGCCCGGAGCACTGGTTTGATTTCAAACAGCCCCTGGCCCCTCTTTGGTCTCTCTCTGCTCCCTATTGTACAGAGTCCCCAGCCTCTTTCCCTCTGGGTCACCTCTTCTTCACGTCTCCCTCCTGTCACTCCTGTGTCTCATCCTGATCCTCTTGTTTGATCTCGCCCCACAGATGGTTTCACGAAGGCCTCTCTCGACACCAGGCAGAGAACTTACTCATGGGCAAGGAGGTTGGTTTCTTCATCATCCGGGCCAGCCAGAGCTCCCCAGGGGACTTCTCCATCTCTGTCAGGTACTGACCATTCCTGACACCACCTTGACCCTTCTCAGCCTGTTAACCTCCCAGAATGCTGAAGCCATGAAGGGACCTCTGGAATATGACCCAATGGTCAGAAGCATGGTGGCCTAGGGGCCAAGCATGGCAGCAGCTTCACAACCTGCTGTTCCCAGTGCCTCCCCAGAACACACGCACACCACTCCTTAGCACACTGGTGTGTATTCAAAATTATTTCTATGCCCATCTGCCTCTTCTAGTCCAGGTGCTTCTGAAAGGGCAGGATTTTCCTCTACTTCATCTTTATGCCTTTAACAGTGTCTTGCACAAAATAGAGACACTCAGTGAGTATTTGTGGAAGGAAGAAGGGGTAGGAGGAGGAGAACTCCCACTTGTCCAGATCCATCTGGGGGTTTAAATCTTAACCTTTTCTTTTATGATTGATGCATATCTGAAGAAGAGTCAGGGAAAAATAGAAATCTCAAGTCATTGCTGTAGGATGTACAGGGGCGGAAAAGGTGTGGCACCTTTCTTCGCCCATCAGAGGAGTCACAGCTGACACTCCTACAAGACAGGTTAACGAGGAGAGTGGACACATTTGTTTAATCAAAGACTCATGTGACACAGAAGCCTTCAGAAATGAAGACTCAAAACCCAGGGAAAGCCGTCTATTTTTATGCTTAAGTTCGACAACGGATAGACAGCCCTGTCGAAATGGGATTGGACAAAGGGGGTTTGATCTAAGGTAACAGACTGTGGTGGGAAACTGAACAAGGCCTGTCCCAAGTTTGTTTTCTTTTTCTTTTTCTTTTTTTTAGGGGGGTGGGGGGACAGGGTCTTGATCTGTTGCCCAGGCTGGAGTGCAGTGACGCAATCATCGCTCACCACAGCCTCTGCGTCCCAGGCTCAAGCCATCTTCCCACCTCAGCCTCTCGAGTAGCTGGGGATACAGGTGCACACCACCACACCTGGCTAATATTATTTTTTTAACTTATTTTTTTGTAGAGACTGGGTCTTACTATGTTGCCTGAGCTGATCTCAGACTCCTGGCTTTAAACAATCCTCCTGCCTTGGCCTCCCTAATAGTGACCCTTCTAGTCTCTCTGACCCACTGTGGGGAAGAGGAATTCTAATTTCTATGACTCACGCACGGGGAGAAAGAGGAGCGGGAGACCGGAGGTCAGGAAAAGGCCAAAGGAAGACTTTGCTTCCAAGGCTACTTATGAAGCCTTCCAATCTCGTTTGGTTCAAAGCACTCAGCATGCCAAGGGGTGTCATTTTCTGAGCCCCAACAAATACATGTATAGTTGTAGGCAGCTGAACAAAAAGAAAGGCTACTTCAACACAGTACAGTACAACAAAACCGAAAACAAGAGAACAGAGCTGAGGAGGGCCAGGAGTGGGGGAGGACTGTAACAGCGAAATCTCACTAAGGTGCAGCACCCCATAGGAAGTGACTCAGTCCATGTGTAGACATTACACAGCCCCAAACTCAGAAGCCCAATTCGGAACACTGTGTGTGGTCAGCATGTTGGGGATCGCAAGTCACGTATCAGACTTGACCACATGTGAAACTGCAAGAATATAATGCTGTTAGCAGATCAGGAGAAGTACAGTAAAACGTTACTGTCAGGTTATTGACAGGAAATACCGATCTGGTTGATTCAATATATTTTGAAAGGCATGTGGCTTTGTTTTAAGGACAGAAATCCAATCTCAAGTAATAAACTGTGGCCACTTTGCTATTTAGAAAGAATGGATATTTGAAAGGATAGGTAGGAAGGACTTAAAAATAACAAGTCAACAATTTGTATGCCTGCATACCTTTAAAGTGGTCTCTTTAGCATTGCCCTTGCAATCTTGCCTAAACTCTTAATTTTCCTCAAGAAAAACTTTATTTTCATAGCTTGGAGAATGGTAAACTTTAGTTCAGGCCAATATTGATGTATCACAAATTCTAATCTTGTTAGGTCTTAATTAATGAAATTTTGCTCCATTAACATATATTACAAGTCCAGGTTGGGCGCTGTGGCTCATGCCTGTAATCCCAGCACTTTGGGAGGCTGAGGTGGGAGGATTGCTTGAGCCAACGAGTTGGAGACCAGCCAGGGCAACATAACAAGACCTCATCTCTACTAAAAATAAAAAATTAACCCAGTGTGGTGGCACATGCCTGTGGTCCCAACTACTTGGAAGGCTGAGGTGAAGGGATTGTTGGGGCCTGGGAGGTTGAGGCTGTGGTGAGCCAAGGTTGTGCCACTGCACTCTAGCCTGGGTGACAGAGCAAGACCCTGTCTCAAAAGAAAAAGATTATTTACATATATTATATACATATATAATTAGAAAAAACAATTTTACGTATATTATATTTAACATGTATGTATATATGTTACAAGTCAAATCTATTTCTTAAGCCTCCCCTCTCTACCCCATCATAAACTTGACCAAGTAATTTGTTAGACTGAGGGGTATCTCTTGGGCCTTTGGTTTGCATGAAGATGACTCTGGCTTTTTCAGCTAGAAACTATGGTTTTTGTGGTTTTGTTGGTTTTTTGAGACAGACTCTCGCTCTGTCACCCAGGCTGGAGTGCAGTGGCACGATCCTGGCTCCTTGCAACCTCCGCCTCCCAGGTTCACAGCAATTCTCATGCCTTGGCCTCCCGAGTAGCTGGGACCACAGGTTCGCACCACCATGCCTGGCTAATTTGTGTGTGTGTGGTTGTTTTTAGTAGAGACGAGGTTTCGTCATGTTGGCCAAGCTGGCCTTGAACTCCTGGCCTCATGTGATCTGCCCGCCTCAGCCTCCCAAAGTGCTAGGATTATAGGTGTGACCCACTGTGCCCAGACCCAGAACTATGGTTTATATTTGTTTTATTAAAGTGAATTCTACAAAACAGTCAGCCTTGACTTCTACCAAAGTCTTCCCCTGATATTGAGGCAATGAAGCTTCTAGTTATGGTGACAATTACCGTAATCATTATCACATCTTCTGTATAAATGCAGTATAATATTTTCCAAAGCAAAATCATTGTTAATTATTTTTACATCTGTCATGGGCACAAATAATTAAGAGCTAATTGTAGTTCTATCACTCAGCATTTGTTAAGGGCCTAAAACACCAGATTTTGGAGTCCAGCGCCCTGAGTCGCATCCTTTCCTTTGTTCCACTTCAGGCTTGGGACAATAGTCAGGCCATCCTCTCCTTGTAGACCCAGATGACCAGCAGCAACCCTCACATCCATCCTTACAGCTTATAAGAGTAAAAGGGTTAGTGTTTCACACTCTGAGTTCTTTGAGGTGGTGGATGAAAAATTATAATATCATAAGAACATTTCCTCCTCCTCCTCACCTGAATGTGAAGGGTAATGACTTTGATTTGATCCATGTTGTCTTAGAAGGAAGAAAGTATCTGTTGGTGGCCAAAACCAAGGGGAAGACCACGCAGTGATTGCAATATGTTGATTACCACCCCAAATCAGTCAAGCAAGAGGCCACTTGCACAACCTTTGGCTTCACTCAGCTATGAGCAAATCTCAGCATGTAAGATGAGACTGAGGCTCAGAATTTCCATGTCCTTCTTAACACAGATCCCTAAATCCATCCCTAAGAAACCTCCACTTACTCTCAGAGGTATCTTTACTCTCCAAGACCCTTTAAAATTCTTGACCTTTCTTTTACATCAGGCAATTGGCATCACTAGTGCTGGTTTATTTTTAGATATAAATGTATGTCGTTTGAAAATAAACTTTACATCCAAAAGAGAATGACTTGGCAATGAAATAAAACTGGATCTAATGGTAAAGGCTCAGTCCACCCTTCCTAGATGGATAAAATCCATTTTCTCTATCCCTGGTTTGAATGTATCCCATCATTTGTGAGTCCAGACTGGCATCAGAAGGTGCTGATCTAAAAGAAGTTATCATGTTTACATGGCGTGACAGGCAAGCTCACTAGACTGGAGTCAGAGACTCAGGGTTCTGGCCTCAGTCCTGCCACTCAGCAGTGACCTTAGCCAACCCCCTGAACCTCTCTGAACCTCAGTGTTCTCATCTGTAAAATGGAGAAGTAAGGCTAAACAATCTCCAAGATCCTTGCCAATTAAAACTCTATCATTTTGCCAGGCACAGTGCCTCACGCCTGTAATCCCAGCACTTTGGGAGGCCGAGGCGGGTGGATCACCAGAGGTCTGGACTTCAAGACCAGCCTGACCAACATGGTGAAACCCCATCTTTACTAGAAATACAAAAAAGCTAGGCCGGGCGCGGTGGCTCAAGCCTGTAATCCCAGCACTTTGGGAGGCCGAGACGGGCGGATCACGAGGTCAGGAGATCGAGACCATCCTGGCTAACACGGTGAAACCCCGTCTCTACTAAAAAATACAAAAAACTAGCCGGGCGAGGTGGCGGGCGCCTGCAGTCCCAGCTGCTCGGGAGGCTGAGGCAGGAGAATGGCGTGAACCCGGGAGGCGGAGCTTGCAGTGAGCGAGATCCGGCCACTGCACTCCAGCCTGGGCGACAGAGCGAGACTCCGTCTCAAAAAAAAAAAAAAAAAGCTAGCCAGGTGTGATGGTAGGTGCCTGTAATCCCAGCTACTCAGGAGGCCGAGACGGGAGAATCGCTTGAACCTGGGAGGCAGAGGTTGCAGTGAACAGAGATCGCACCACTGCGCTCCAGCCTAGGCAACAGAGTGAGACTCCATTTCAAAAAAAATTAAAAAAAACTCTATATTTCATACAAAGCTATTTCGCCAAAAGCTGAAAACACTTTGTAACCTTATTTATGCAAAACATAAACCAAGATGATCCTTATTACATGGAGAAAAAATGTGACATATTTCTTAGGAAAGAGAGCAGCTTCTTACCTGCCAGTGCTAGCTTATGGGCTTAAATTAGGAGATGGTCTAAAGTATTTCTGGTAACAGAAAGATAATAGGAGCTTGAAATAACCCCATCGACATCTTGCAAATAAACATTGTGAAAAGGTCTTTGATCTCTTAGTCGTTAAGGCACTTGGAACATGCTTTTCTTGTAAAAGGCTAGTTCCAGTGTCCAAGACAAATTTTAGCTCATCTGATTACCTTCTGCTGATGTAAATCCCCTCTAGCATAGCCCGTATCCTAAGTGGTCCATCCTAGAAAGCTCCTGCCGAAGCCTGACTGGGCTGGCCCACCTGCCCAGTGATGAGTGAGTCATCCATATCTACATCTCCTGCCGAAAGAGAACTCCACCATCCCAGATGCGAGCAGCCTGGAGGTGGTGACATTATCACCGTGTAACATACAATTTCGTTTTGCCTTGATCTCCAGGCATGAGGATGACGTTCAACACTTCAAGGTCATGCGAGACAACAAGGGTAATTACTTTCTGTGGACTGAGAAGTTTCCATCCCTAAACAAGCTGGTGGACTACTACAGGACAAATTCCATCTCCAGACAGAAGCAGATCTTCCTTAGAGACAGAACCCGAGAAGACCAGGTATGCTCCAGGTCCGATCGACCCCAATCTAGAGATTTTAGGCAGCCCAAGTTCTCACGGGAACCGCAAGGAAAAATGCATAGGATGGGTATATCCTCTGAGTGTACTGAAAGACAGGGCTCAGAGCTCTGAGGTCAGATCTCAACTTAATACTTCCTAGTTGTGTGACTTTGGAAAGTTCTCTGAGCCTCAGTTTCCTCATCCATGAAGTAGGGATAATGGTAATATCTACCTCCCAGGATGGCTGTGAAGGTTGGAGAAGATAATGTATCCCATGCTTCATGTCATTCCTCGTCACACTGCACTCAACAAGCATCAGTTCTTACCACAGGTGCTGTTTGTTATTCATAGACATTGCTACACCAAAGTTTTCAACCTAGCTCAAGAGTTGCCCAAGATGAAGGAGTTGGGGGTGCTACAGACGGGGACATTAGGGAACAGCCTAGAGGTCAGGAATTAATTCAGCAGTTGGAGTTTTATGATGGGATTGGGGGTGGGGAGGACATGGGAGGAGAAAACTGCACTTGGAATTATTGCTGTTGGAACTGTTTGGAATACCGAGTATTGCTTTAAAAGGAAATGCGTCAGACAGACCTGGTATGAGATCCTGCTTTAATCACTTAGCTACCTGTATTCCCTAGCCAAGTTAAGAAACCTTCTGAGTATCAGTTTTCTCATCAGTAGAATGGAGAGAACAATAAAGCCTCCCTCACTGGGCTGTTGTGAGGAGTAAATGAGTTACTACACTAAGCACTATCAGAGTCTGGTCCATATTAAGCACTAAGAAAATGTTAACTTGCCTCCCATAAGTATATTCACACATACACACACACACTCTCTCTCTCACATACACACACACACACACACACCAATTTATAAACTATTTTTCAAAGGAAATAACATGGTTATAAGAGACAGGTATCATAGGAAGAAGCATTCACTAGAATAGCTGAAATCCTAGGGACAGGTTATTTGAAAAGGTATTGAGACTGTGAAAGCAATGTGTGCTTTGGGGAAGTCAAGAAAATCCTCCTTTTTCAAGTCCGTAGTTGCTTTTAAGCCTGAGAAGTTACTGCCAAAGGAGAAAAGAAGTTCCCACCAAATGCACACAGAAGTTGAGAAAGGAAAACAAAGGCTAGCCAAGACCTTGTGAATCACTCTAACCAGGAAACGAACAGAGGTATTAACTCACTAGGATGTGCATTCAGAGATAAGAGAAGCAATATAAAATTGCATTAAACGGGATTAAATGAGTTGGTATTTGCAAAGCGCTTAGAACAGTGCCTGGTATATGCTATGCCCAGGGTCCTACGTAATTGTTTGTTAAATGAAAACAACAATATGGTATTTCTGATTCGTAAGGTTGTTTTAACATTAGGGAAAAAGGCCTTACTTCTTCCCCAGCGGCAGGCCTGGTTCCCATGGCATTGCAAGAATGTTGCTGTTTAGGTCTCTATCACCAGGCCATAAATGACAGTTCAAAATCACGCAGAGTCAACAGTGGAGCTCATCTGGAGGGTAGGATGTCCAGCGGTGTGGCAACATGTGATAAGAAGGGGCGGCATTGTATCAGTAAAGTGGAATATTTCAGCTTGATTACACAGAGAAAACACAAGCGCCTTGGAAATGGATTAAATGGCTACCAGGCGGAAAGTGTTAGTCTGTGAACCAGAGACCTGAACTCCTAAAACTGGGAGGATCTGAGAATACAGAGGCCACTTTGGAAAATGTGAAGGTCTGAAGTATCAATTCTCTTTCAGCTGCCCCCACCTACCAGCTATTTCTTGGAGCCAGAATGAGCAGGGTCCGGGAACAACTGCCCGAGACCGGCGTAGGGCCCGAAGATCAGAGAGGACGATGCATCTGCAGCATCTCTCTTCTCTCTCCCAGGGTCACCGGGGCAACAGCCTGGACCGGAGGTCCCAGGGAGGCCCACACCTCAGTGGGGCTGTGGGAGAAGAAATCCGTCCTTCGATGAACCGGAAGCTGTCGGATCACCCCCCAGCCCTTCCCCTGCAGCAGCACCAGCACCAGCTACAGCCTCCGCAGTACGCCCCAGCGCCCCAGCAGCTGCAGCAGCCCCCACAGCAGCGGTATCTGCAGCACCACCATTTCCACCAGGTATCTGGAAAGAAGGCAGTGGGCACAATACGGCGGAAAGGAGAACCTGCCTCCCCTCCGAGCCTGGCCCAGCCTCTTTAGGTCTCAGAGAGTTCATGATGAAGACCCTGGACCCCACCAAATGGCAGAAATAGGGAAACTGCTCTTGGCAAAGACATCTCTGTGAATTAAATGACTCCCGCCTGAACACACACACACATACACATACACATACACACTCACACACACACACTTCCCCTGAGGACTCAGTGAACAATTGCTTCATTTTCCTATCAGCACACTTCCAAATCTATTCATGCCCCTTAACCCATCTGGCTGTCGAGATCCACAAGAAAAAAAGGCTTAATACCCACAACAGAGCCTTGTTTATTACTTATTTATCCGCTCCCACCCTTGTTCCCGATGGGTTTTCAGGCAGCTTACTGAGATGGACAATACGTTCATCGTTCCTGAATTCCTTAGCAGGGCACACAAAGTCCTTTGTGAGCTGCCAGAATCTATTTCCCCAGCCTCATCCCTGCTGCCTCCCCCCGACTCCCGTGCAAACATACATTCCAGCAACCCCACACTACCTTAGTTACCCGAATGGTCCACTGCGTTTCCTCTCATGCCTTTGTGGTGGTTTATATGCTGATCCCTCTGCCTGATGAGCCCCGCCCTGGGCAGTCCTACCCCTCCTCTAAGCTGGAGTTCAAGCATCACCTCCTCTGTGAAGCCTTTCTTGATTTCCTGGGCAGACACAGACATTTCTTCTCTCTGCTCACTTACCACTTAAATGCCCATGGTTCCCCCTCTAAATGGAAGCTCTATGAAGCCAGAGACCTTCTCTTTCCAGCTATATTTCCCTGTGTCTGCTACTGGACACATGGTAGGTGCCTGATAAATATTTCTTGACTGAATAAATGAAACCCGCCTTTGCCTTCTTTGCCTTCAGAATCTAAGGTCCCTTTAGACCTTAGGTCCTCCTCCCCCTCAGCGTGGAGGGTTTATTGTCATCACCAGTAAGTATTCCTGGAATATACCAGCTGTGTGGATGGCATCTGAGCAAGGCAGTCGGGGAACCGGTGGGAGATGTCCTGGCAGCGGGATGACCGGTCTTCTGTTGTATGTTTCTAGGAACGCCGAGGAGGCAGCCTTGACATAAACGATGGGCACTGTGGCACCAGCCTGGGCAGTGAAATGAATGCAGCCCTTATGCATCGGAGACACACAGACCCAGTGCAGCTCCAGGCAGCAGGGGTATGAGAACCATCCCTCTTGGATCCCTGGGGAAAGGCCCCGGAACAGAGCTCAATGGAGAAGATGAGGCAGGAGAAACTCAAACCACACAGATCTGGCTGGGCACGGTGGCTCACTCCTGTAATCCCAACAGTTTGGGAGGCCGAGGCAGGTGGATCACCTGAGGTCGGGAGTTTGAGACCAGCCTGGCCAACATGGTGAAACCTCATGTCTACAAAAAATACAAAAAACTAGCCGGGTGTGGTGGCAGATGCCGGTAATCCCAGCTACTCAGGAGGCTGAGGCAGGAGAATCGCTTGAACCCAGGAGGCAGAGGTTGCAGTGAGCCGAGATTGCGCCATTGTACTCCATCTTGGGCAACAAAAGAGAAACTCCATCTCAAAAAAACAAAACAAACAAACAAACAAAACAAAAACGCACACACAGATCAAATGAGAGGGGATGGAATGTTTGGGGAGGCCTGGGGCTGAGCCAGCACCGTCCAGTCTGTTGATCTCAGTCTGGTGCCTGCCAGGCCTTCCCTGTTCTCATAGTCCTCTGTTCTGGTTCTTTATCGTCTTTATCATAGTCCTTTACCATTGCCTTTATCATTGCTTTTTTGTTTTGTTTTTTGAGACAGGGTCTCACTCTGACTCCCAGGTTTGAGTGCAGTGGCACAATCATGGCTCACTGCAGATTCAAACTCCTAGGCTCAAGTGATCCTCTTGCCTCAGCTTCCCAAGCAGCTAGGTATATTATCTGTAGCGATAAGCTCTCACTATATTACCCAGGCTGGTCTGGAATTCCTGGGCTCAAACAATCCTCCTACCTCAGCCTCCCAAAGTGCTGGGATTACAGGTGTGAGCCACCGTGCCTGGCCTGTGATCCATCTTGACTCATGACTTGATTGCCCTAACACCAAGGGCTATTGTTTGGGGCATGTTGCCATTCTGTTTGTCACTCAAAGAAGATAAAAATACCACCTACTGATGTGGAGAGAGTGGTTCTCAGGGAGTCTCTTGGGGCTTTGGACAGTAACATCTGTTGGTAAAAGTCCTGGGTCTCCAGAGTGACGCTGGTGCATTCTGGGAACTTCTTGCTCAGGCCTGTGCAGAGGTATCTGATTTAAATTGCAGCAGCGTAGCCAGGCATGGTGGCTCACACCTGTAGTTCCAGCTACTTGGGAGGCCAAGGCAGGAGGATTGCTTGAGGCCAAAGGTTCAAAACCAGCCTGAGCAACATAGTGAGACCCCATGTCTACAAAAAAAATTTGTTTAAGCTGCAGAGGGGTCAGCCTTCAGGGAATGTTGCTCTCAAAGGACTTGGATGTGGTGGGAGGAGCCAGCAGACCCTCCCCTGCCTGCCCAGCCCACAGCTCAGCAGAGCCTCTTCTGTGCTTCCCCCAACAGCGAGTGCGGTGGGCCCGGGCGCTGTACGACTTTGAGGCCCTGGAGGATGACGAGCTGGGTTTCCACAGCGGGGAGGTGGTGGAAGTCCTGGATAGCTCCAACCCATCCTGGTGGACCGGCCGCCTGCACAACAAGCTGGGCCTCTTCCCTGCCAACTACGTGGCACCCATGACCCGATGAACCCTTCAGGGGACAGAAGCTTTTTGTCTGGAGCTGCCCACAAGGAAGGGGGCAAGGAAAAAAGGCTGGACTCCATGACTATATATACATACATCTGTCTGCGTCTGCCTGTGTACACACAACATTTTATACTAGTAATTTATTGGCAATTGGGCTGGTAATTAGTTGATGCAAAGGGGAACTCAGGTGGAGAAGAATACTCACACTTGCTTTTCTGCTCCCCTCAGGGGTGTGTGGAAGGCACTGGGGGAGTTGGGAGGGGGGCAGGGAGATGAAATGGAGCTTTGTCCTGGCCTTCAGCTGTCACTGCTTCCTCCTTGTCTTGGGAATTTTCACGGAGAACAGCTAAGCAGAGACTGCACCTCGGCATTGGACACAGAACAACAGGGTGGGGTTGAACATGGTGGGGCACGTTCTAGCTGACCTGTGAGCCCCGCTCACCTAGAGGGCTTGCAGGGCAGCTCTCCTCCTATTCTCCAAGGGGTGGGCACTGCTGCATTGGGAATTAAGGTGCAGCTCAGTGCCACGGGCAGCCAAGCCAGTCTGAGCAGGGATGTGGAGGCAGGACGGGGTTGGAAAGACTCTGCCTGTGCGAGGCTGGCCTCCTAGTCAACACCTAGCTGAGACATCCATCTCTGTTCAAATTAATATTCCTTGGGTCTTTCAAATGAACGTTCCAATGTGAGGAGCCAAGTCCTGGGAAATCGAGGGGTTTTCCACGATCCCCAAGCAGCTTACTCAGTGTAACCTCTACTTCCCCAGCTATGGAGGAAATAGCATCCTAGATTCCATAAAGTGCTTGGAGAAGCTCTGGCTGAGAATGCTGAATGTTAGAGTCATTGTTTTATGGTTACAAGAGTGTGTCTTCAGGGCTGTGTTCATTTTCCCTCTTGATTTTCTGTTTTGAAGATGCCTTGCCCAGTGGCATGGAAAGAAGCCCACTTGATAAGAGCACTGACTGTGGATTGATTGACTAAATATGACCCCAGGTGGAAGCTGGCTTTGATGTGAGCTCCCTGTTCAGTCTGACCATTGCTGTCCTCCTGCCACCCAAGAGTTGCACCTGGAATAAGGAACCCCACCATGGCTGTCCCTCTCCATCCCCTCAAGCTAGAATCATGTGTCCAAGTGCTCACCCTGCAGGTGCGCAGCACACGTCAGCCTGGCCAGGGACGAAGGAAACACTGGAGAGGAAGCTCAGGGCCTTAGAGGAGGCCAGGCGCAAACCCTTTCTTCACCAAGGGCACTCGGAGTGTGTGGGTGTGGTGTGTACCCCTGCGGGTGTGCCCATGTGTGCTTGCAGGCACATATGTGTGCACTCCTATGTGTATACATGTGTGCTTGTGTGTGCATATGTGTGCATTCCTGTATGTGTGGACATGTGTGTGCATGCATCTGTGTGTCTGTCTGTGTGGTGAGACAGGAAAGAGGGGAGAAAGTGTTGGTGAGGGAGCCTGGAAGTCTCTTCCCCAGCCTCTCTTGCTCTAAGGAGGGACGGGGTTGGGGACAGCCATTATTGCAGGTGATTGGAGAAGAAAGATTTTCTGACTCAAAAGTAACTGCCAGTGTAGCACAAGCAGTGTCCCTTGTGACTCTGATTCTACAGTTCTCTGATCCCCATGTTTCCTTTAGAGGAAAGAGGAAAAAAGGAACTCGTGGTGGGTATAGGGAGGGAAAAGAAAATAGCCTGGTGGAGGCAGCGGGGAGTCGAGCCTGAGGAAGGAGTGCCTGCAGCTTTTGGAAGTGAAAGCAGAGAGAGGGAAAGGTAGCCAAGACGTCCAGGAGTATCAAGGGGCAGCGTGAGAGGCACAGGGGGAGGAAAGGGAGAGGGTGAGTGCGGCCAGGGAAGAGAGCGGTGTGGAGTTGGTGGGCAGACAGTGCAGGAGGAGGGCCAGGCAGTGGGGAGAGGAAGAATCAGAGCAGAGAAACCGCTGCTGCGGAGGGCAGGGAGCAAAGAAGCATAAGAAAAAGAACAGGAGAAAGAACAAAGGCAGAGAAGACCTCCTCAGCTATTTTGGTGCTAGGTAATGTGAAATGCTGCAGTAAATAAAAGCCAAAAGTAATGTTTGATTTTACAATATTTACAAACCATATGCTTTAAACAGCCCACAAACTTCATCCAGTTGTCTGATGATGTGGGAGGACCAGCTCTAGTTAGACAGAGGTACGTGATTGGATTCTGGTGGAGATTTTGTGCCTTGAAAGACTTCTCAAGAAAGCAGTAATAAAACAAAGTGTCCTTGTTTGGCCAGGCTGTGTCTGGTGTCTGTGTCCCAGAACCCTCAGGTAGAGAGTGAGAACGAGACCAAGGGGTGACAGGCGTCATCAGCCTGCAGGAGCTGACCCCATAGGCAGGTGGTATAAGCAGAGCTTTCAGAACCCCTGGAACTCGGTGTTTTGTTCTAGCTAAAGCTACTGAAGGGTATTTTGTACTGAGATGCCAAAGCTTCCTTCCCGTGCTCGTCAGCATGCCTCCATTCAGAAGGAACCCACAAGGAATGAGGGCTGTTAGCAGCCAGGTAAAGAGGACAAGAACCAAACTGTCCACGTTATGAACGGGTGGGGGAAAGGGAGCTCAACCTCCCTCAGCCTCTGGTGCTGCCGGGGGAGTCCCTCCCCATGTGTCCCCACAGGCCCTAGTTTCTACCGGATAGCATTTCAGCACCAGAGGAGGGTCCAGCCAGCACCTCTCACCAGTCACACAACCAGCAGCCAACACATTGTCCCCAAGTTTAGCTGCAACATTCTATGTGACTTGGGAGCTTGGCGCTTCCAGAGAAAAGCCAGTTCCTGTTGGACCAGTGGTTGGGTTTTCCTCACCACTTGCTGTGCCTCACCGCATTTCAAATATCTGGCACCAGCCACTGCCCACCCACTTTTAGATGGCCCCAGGGTGATCTAACCATGGTGCTTCTCAAAATTTAAAGTGCCTACCAATTGCCTGGGGATCGTGTTGAAATGCAGCTTCCAACTCGGTCCTGAATTTCTAACAAGCTTCCGGGTGCTATTACTGGGTACACATGTTAAGTAGCAAAGGCGAAGAACTTAGCAGTGAGCAAAACTCTAATTGGGTTCTTCTTCTGAGGATATTCGGCCATTTTTCTTTGCTGCTGATGAATAGGTCACTTTGGCTTTGGGACAGATGCAATGCAGAACTGTCGTTATTGACGTCATTCATATTTGGCGGCCCCGGTGACTTATTATTTTAGCATCTTTATCTAGAATTAAAAAAATGTAATGTGAGAGGAATTCAGATGAAATGCAAACAGGAATTTCCTATAACAATTACTATTTCCTAATAGTAATTATTTTAAACATGAGCAGAGTTTGCAGAAGTTGTAAAAGTTTTGTCAGGAAATCTTTAGTCATAAAATTGACTCTGGTCAGACGTGGCCCTGGTTGGGGCAGGGGACTGTGCTCCCAGCTAACCTAAAACACGACAGCCCATGGGGGACAGATTAGCATGGCCGAAATATTTGCTGTTTGCCTTGTCTAAGCCAACATTTCAGCCCGTCTATACCAAGGCAAGGGTGTGAGAAAAACCTTGATTGTCTCAATTCTTTCTAAAAAATGCTTCCTCAGTTCCTCCACTTTACTCCCTCACCTTGGCCATGCCGCCATTGTCTCTTGCTTTGGTAATTGTCAGCTTTCATACCCTTCTCCCTGCATTCTCTCCTGTAATCCGGCCCTCCACACAGATGCCAAAGCGATCTTTGTAAAAATAAATCTGATCACATCACTCCCCTTCCTACTGGATTTAGGTTTAAGTGCAAAGTCCTAATGTAGCCCTGTGAAGTCTGGCGCCTGCCTCACTCCTCAGCCTCCTCTTCTGCCTCCCCTGCTCCTTGCTTTTATGCTCCTGCCCCACTGGCTTTTCAGCCTCCAAATAGCCAGGGATTTGTCCCCAGACCTTTCACACTTGCCATTCTTGCTGCCTGGAGGCACATCCCCTGCTAACCCTGCTAACTTTTGTTTATCTCCAGGTCTGGGTTGGTTTTTTGTTTCAGATGGGGTCTTGCTCTGTTTCCCAGGCTGGAATGCAGTGGCACAGTCTCAGCTCACTGCAGCCTCTGCCTCCCAAGTTCAAGTGATTCTCCCACCTCAGCCTTCCGAGTAGCTGAGATTACAGGGGCATGTTACCAGGCCTGGCTAATTTTTCATTTTTGGTGGAGACAGGGTTTCACCATGTTGGCCAGGGTGGTCTTGAACTCCTGACCTCAGGTGATTCACCTTGGCTTCTCAAAGTGCTGGGATGATAGGTGTGAGCCACCATGCTGGGCTCAGGTCTGGGTTTAAATGTCACTTCCAAACAGTCCTCCCCTGCCCCCTAATCTAAAATAATCCTTCTCCTAAGATGGTCTCATGAATCCTGTGCCTTTTCTGAATAGCATGTACGCAGATGATGGTGCCAGACTGAGCTGTATGGCTATTAGACTGTAAGCTCCACGGAGCAGGGGTCACCTCTGTTTTGTAAACCATTGTACACCCAACATCTAGCACACAGAGGCTCAGTAAATATTTTTCTAATGGAGGAATGATTGGACCTGCTTCATCTCATCTATTTACTCATTTTGTAACTCAACTGTCTTGGGCCTAACAGACCTATGGATGCAAACAAGGTCATATTTACAATGATATCCAGGTTCCAGTAGCTGTAGCCACTGTCTTTGGATTCTCCTCCAGTTAGCTTCCGAGAGGCCAAGAGAGGGAGGCTGGTATCTCTCACGTGTTTAGGCACCAGTATACCTACACTTCCTACTCTGGTTTCAGTGCTCTGTTGCCCCACACATCCTCTGCTGACAATGCCTTCCTAGATACTGCAGATCCACTATGTACCACATTTATCTGCTGGTGAATTGACCCGATCCTTCAGGACACCAAATCCGCCCTGCAGTCCCCATGACAAGAAGATTGGGGAAGAGGTAGAGGGGAGGATGGCCTGTGCCCAATTCTGAGAGGCACTGGTTGGTCCCTGGCTCCCTCAGCATCTTCCATGAGCACAGCTGGCTCTCTTCTCAGCCGAGCCCTCCCTCCATCAGACAGAACAGGGGATACCAACCCTTCCCTCCATCTCTCTTTTCTCACTCTTCCCTGTTGCCTCTTTCTCCTTCCGCTCAAAAGAAGCGGAATGTACCTACATGCCATCATTAGCTCCCAGCTAACCTGAAACACAACAGCCCACACTGGGGACTGATTAGCATGGTCAAAATATTTGCCGTTTTCTTTGTCTAAAGTCAACACTTCAGCCTGTCCATACCAAGGCAAGGGTGTCCCCTGCACCACAACATTTGTGCAGTAGATACCACCTAGAAGCCCAGTAGCTGTGCACCCACTCGTATTGTTTTAAGTTTTGCTATAATTCATTCATTACATCAACAAGTATTTACAAAGCACCTCTTCAGGGTCAGACACAATCAGCCATTGGGTCCTTCACATCTCTCAACTCTGTCCCTTCTCTGCACCCATTCCATAGCCACTGCCTTACTTCAAACCTCTCTCATTTCTTTCCCTGGTGACTGCAATAGTCTCAGCGCTCGTCTCCCTGCATTCCTGGCTGGCCCCCTGTAATCCAGCCTCCAAGGCAGTCAGGGAGATCTTATTCAGAGACAGGCTGACGATACCAAGCTTCTGCTCAAATCCTTGGGTTCTTCGTGGTCTTCAGGCTGGAGTTTAACCTCCTTAGCTTCGCACTAAAGGCCTTTTGTGATCTGTCTGCTGCCTTATTTGTTCAGCCATATCTTCTACTTCTCTAGTCCCAAACACCCTTTACTTCA